AACGTAGCTTTATGATAAAAAAATAATTCATCTTATTTGCTATATGTAAATATATTTTTGAAATTTTACTGTTAATAATTCCAGCGTACATAAAAATTAATCGTCATATAACGTACAATGTAACAGAAAAATTTACAAAAGAAAGAAACAAACGAAATTTGCAAAAAATTGTTATTTTATCTTTTACATTCAATCAACTTTTTCATTATAGCTTGTCCAAATATTCGGTAACGGTGGAGAAAACGCTGCGGAAGATACAATTTTCTGAATTCAGACAGTACCAATTTAAAAACAAAAATATTTTTACAAAAATATCTCGGAATGAAAGGACACTGCTGACGTATTATATGTATATCTGATCACCCATAAGTAATAAGTGATAAATAATTAAGGGTGTTTTACTTAACTTTACGAATTAAATATTTTCACGAATATTCCTTTACCAGTAAAATTTTATGAAAAGTATTTCTTCTATAAATTATTCTTTGGATGAACAACCTACATTAAAAACATTTCAAATCTGTTGCTCAGCCATCAAAAATTGAACATACAGTGACTTTCCAGTAATACTAAAAATTAAGGGGAAAAATGTATTTATGCAACCATCAACCAACACTTGAATAGCTTTAATGTTTCAGATTATTAAATTCTTCTTTAAGGAATCTATGACACTGAAAGCAGTATCCAACTTGAAAAAAAAGTTAACTATCCTATGTATCTTATTAATGCCTGTCAACATAAAGAAGCTCTAATCACTATTCGCGGATAACGGTAGAATTACACAATTATCTTAAGAAATATAATTAACATAAATATATATTAACAATATATTTCAGACAATAAAAATAGAATGAAATATACTGAACGATAGTTCAAGGATGTTAAAACTCCACGATTACCCAACAAACGTCAAACCGCTCTTTCGTCCACAAACTACTTTTTACGTGCTAGATACTCGCCGAGAACAACTTTAATACAGTTTCTAAAATTCGCCTCCGTGGAAAAATCAATTTTACAGAATCCCACAGGATACCCGCGGAAATATAACGCGGATCTTTAATCCCCGCGCGATGTTACTTTAAATTGTGCCGCTTCGAAGAATCACTGTCAGGGTATACAATTTCCGGCAGAAGTTCGGAAATTTTGTCGGTCGAAGTTTCTGGCGTAATATATTTTCGCTAACACTGTTACTATCTAAATTAGCCCGGTTAGGCATTAAGTCGGGAATTAAATAATCTCCGTTAAATTCTCATGGAGATGGCATATATTTTCCCAAATATTATCCTTATTTCCGGCATCTATTGGAAGAATATCGCGACAGAACTTGCGCAAATTTTAATTTCCGGTCGGGAGGTAGCGCGAATTACTTTGCCCAAAGGAATTAACTGATTTATCTAGTGTCTTTATATATATATACGTATATAAAATGAGCAGATATCACAGTTGTAGTTTGTAAAAAAAGGAGATAATGTAAAAAGGCACAGTGCAGTATTTATATACATATAGAGTACACATGTATAATACTTCAGTATACATCATTTTGTATGTAATTAATAGTATAATCTAATATAATATAAGAGATCTATAATAAATAGATAATAAGCATATACACGCTGCTCAAAAACAGTATTGCAATATTTATGTGCCAGACACAACGCATACATTAAGTAAAATGACATTATCAACAAGCAGTGTGAAATAGTGTACTAAAAGTAGCTTCTATCCATCACACACATGCGACATACTAGTTTCTTCTCACATTCCAGCATTACATATGCGTGACGTAAATCCGATTTTAATTTTCTTTTATATTAATGGATGAAACTTTAGTAATTCTTTATATTAGTAATTCCTAACTAACTTAAATATACTTGAAGCATGCTGTTGGTGGCTTGATTCTAAACGACTTTTGTCTACAACGCTATTGTCGCTCGGCTGTAGTTTCTGAGGTATTCACAACAAATTTTGATAATTATTCAAAAGTTTCATCTCCTCACTAACTTAAATGACTATAAAATATGTTGTCAAGGACATCACTTTGAACAATTTCTTGTAATTGCAAAAATACGGGGCTAGTTAAAACTATGTTAACAGTTGAATGGGAAAACGTTTATTGAACTTATTCAATGTAAAGTCTCAACCTGTTGCTTATTGTTGTCAACAAATGCATGGAAACGACTACAAGTAACATTTAACGCCCTGGTACATAGTTCTCTGGGAATAGATCTTACCAGATTCTTTATTTTTTCATTGAATTGAATGTTACTTTAGTAAATGTTTTTTTCATTTAAGTCAACATAATTTTTACTAACCCTGTCTGTTGAATATTATATTCCGTTCTTTGTGTGTTGCATTTGGATTAGCCACCGTAAGGCGATCAGCTGCTCAGTATTCTTAAATTTCATAACTATAAATAGCAGTTTTTATTTTGTAACCAAATGTTAAAACAAATCAAACCTAATCCCAATTTAACTAAAATTCAAGTTAAGCCCTAACAAAATGTAAAACATCTATATATTTAGAAAACTAAGATTAAAAATTGTTCTGAGCGATATCAACAACATATTTCAAGACCATCGAAATTTGTGCGAAAATACTAATGTAAACAATTACCGAAATTTTATTTATTTGCCTCGCAGATACTTCCAAATGCAAGTAACAACGAATTATTCATTAAATTATATTCATTATTCGTGTTGTTTACGTAGTATATTTTAATACTACCTGTATAAAAATACATATATTATTTAAACTTTCGAAAATCAGAAGCCTCGACTATGAGCAGCACTTTTTTTCCGCGACTAGCGGTAGCGGAGGAGTTAACGCTAGAACTACCAAACATTTAATACGATTAATATGTAATCCCTATAAAAATTGTAACAATAGATTATTTTTATGTTCTTCAGACATTCGTTATAGTATTCAAGTGAAATTATTTATTTTCAAGATCATTTCGAATATTCAACGCGTTTAACCCTTTGCAATCGGAAGCTTTTCACTAGAAACATTCGATATCTTCCGATCAGACATAGATGATACTTTTTGAAGCGAACTAATGAGAAAACATACGTAAATTAAGGAACACAGCTATTTTATATAAATATTTCACATACTGATGCATTACATAACACTTAATATTATATGTAACACTTTATAATTGTTTTATATCAAATAAAAGGGTGATTGAGAGTCACTTCTCGAGTGTAAAGGGTTAAGATATCAATAGATGCAGAACAAAAAAGTCGAAACCAGTCATTTTGACTCGTACGACAGTTCCAGTGTTAAAAGAAAAACTTGAAGCTCGCGATGACCGACTCGGTGTCATTGTTTGTCATAGTCACGGAATTCATAGTGCGCCAGTTGGTTTTCCTTTTTCGCGGAAAGTGACTTTAGTAATTTCGTTCGCGACGAGACGCGTTGGGAAACCATGTCGGCGGACGACCAGTGGCAGCGGGGGTTGACCCCTTATTGACCCTGGTTGATAGTCGCGGCTCGTTAGCTATCCCGTACTTTCAACGGGCGCGAGCATTCGCACGCAATGGGGTTAATTAACTCGGCTGCAACAATATCCCGACCTGAAAATAGTGTTTGGATGCTATTCACAAATTATCTCGTTGCAACGACGGATACGCCGCCCTGTAAATGCCGGGGGTGCACGCATCGGTGGATCGTGCTTGTGCCCGATGTTACGTACACGATTATGTCGCGTAAATTTTGACGTTCTGTATCGACTTACGTAGCAAATGTTTAACACGTTGTCCGACAAATATACACTCATGAAAACTCCTATACAGTCGGAACAGTGTTTTTAACTCTTAGTATCATGATTTTTTTGTTCTGCCTAGAGTAATTTCTATCGATGTGTTTTCAGCCATATGTTACCATTAAAATAAATAAGAAATGCTTAATGTAATGATTTTTTATTTAAATTCAAGAGTTTGAATGTAATATCAATGTTGTACCGTCTAGCAAATATGTTATAATATTTAACTATTACCAATTTTTATTCAATTTTACTATTATTTACTATTACATATGTAGTCATTACAAATTTTTCTAAAAAATAAAATAAAATAACTAAGACGCAAGAAGAGAATACTCATCCATTGCTTTCAGCGGTTCTAACAGAATGATATATTTAATGCATTAACAAATGCGACACACTGCACTAAAGGATTTGTATTTATATTTCTTTACTTAGGAATAATTTGTAGAACATTATTATAGTCTAAGTACTTATGTTCCATGTAAGAATCATTGAATGGCATTTCCGACTCCTTCTATTTACGTTATGCGGGTGTTGCACGATGGTACTAAGGGAAAAGCTAAGATTCTTCACTATGACTATTCTACTGTCCTTCTACCTCATGCATGCAACAGAATTATGTACAGCTGATACGTCACTTTTAAGTAACAATAACAATAAACGTTGCATTGAAATGTATTTTTACTACAGCAGAAGCCATTATTTCTACGGAGTCTAGTATTTATCTTAAATTGCAAAAGTTATCCAATCTTTTTTATAAAACAATAGCGGCTGGAGATGAATGAAATAAAACAATAAAGTTTCTTGTTAACTCTTATTTTGTATAAACGTCGATAGTTCATCATACGTTTAAAAAGTGAATCTAATAATTTTTAAAGTTAATTGTCTGTATTTTAATCAAAATTTGAGGTAATATTCAGATTCAGTGCAGAATGTGATTCTAATAGATGTAATCTATCGCCCCGTTTAGATGTAATAAAAACCTTTAATTATCGAAAATTACTTTCAAAGTAATTATATGTTTATGAATAAAACATTTTGCTAGTGTGATTCTTCGATTTATTGTTTCTTCTTGACGAGAGATGCAGGAGATATATCGATATGACCATCAACGTTACAACATATATTACGTTAGTACGAAACAATGTAATCTTGGTGATAAATTGCGCGATCATACGGCTAGTATCCTGCATCATTAATCACTTTGCACACAACCGGTGTTTATTTGTTGCAGGCTATGGCCAACGTACGCCAGTGCGCATAACAACCTAGGTACACTCACGATGGGCGACCAAGCGGAGCAACACTTTTTGGCAGCGATAAACGCTCAACCGGGACACGTGAATGCTCATTATAACCTCGGTCAACTTTACAGGTTTGTAAAGATAAATATATAATCACAGATCTCTAAAATTGGAGTTCTTGAAATTATTCTTTCTTAAACACTTAGAAGTATTCTTACAACATTTTTTAATAATTTGATGTTTTATTTGCCTATAAATCAATGTAATTATTGAAACTGACTCCAACTGCATCTTCTGCTGCAGTTATTTATAGCATCTACTTTTGTATATATTTTTTCTAACATTGAAAAGCAAATTAATTTTACATGTATAGCATTCATTATCACTAACACAAATTAAAAAACCTTCTACTTTGAATTTAATATTTTCACATATGAAAAAGAAACTTGGAGAAAACGTAACAGTTCTGTACTCATGTTTGAAAAAAGTGGAAAATATTTGTAATCAGAATTCACGAAAATTGAAAGAATAGATTCTAAAAATTAATAACCATGCTCTCTTAAATTAATATAAGAATAGACCAATAAATAAAAGGTGTGAACCTGTCAGATTTGTCTTTCAAGGATGATATTCTTCGTTTCTAAATTCCACGAAATAATGTATGCCATTTTTCCGTGCATTTCGCTTTGATATTATTTTAAAAATTTCCTGTAAAGAGCAATGCATCTATTGTCGTGAAAAAAAGAATGAACAAGTTGACATATGTACATCGAACAACGCGGAAATCAAGGATTACTGTTCGCAGCGAATATCCAGGTATCTAATGGAGTTCCACGTCAACGCGGTATAAACAGAGTTGCACAGAAGGATTTCGAATTCCGTCGCGTTGCATTTTATTAATGATATATCGGGAGTAGACCGCAATGCATATTGTGCGATAAATTTACCGTGGCAAGCTAATCCTGGCGGCGTGATCAGAATTAAAGTTTAATTAACATCTCCTGCTTGATAAATTAAAGTTTAATTGACGAGAAGGGTGAAACGCGCGCACGAGTACTGCCCGTCCCTCTGCAGAATTTTTGGAACCGTTTTCGCACGGAAATTTTCCATTCATTTTTCAACTTTTCCTGATGGAAAAAGTTTCCTGCGAAATCATTGTTACGCGAGCTACGAATGCTGACCAATCATGGAACCGTTACAAATTGGTTCATTCGCAGCCGTGATGAAATTAGTTCATTTCAAATATATGTTTCCATTGTTGAAATGAAAGTGGACTTTACTGCAACCATTCTGTTCTGATGTTATTACTGCTCGTTTATTATTTTTTTAAATTTTAAGTAAATTAAACGGAAAGGGTAACCCGTGGCACGGAGAAATGAAGGGGAAAATAAAACACAGTCGGAATATGTCTATTCACTCTGTGCCCTACCATTGAGCTAATTCCGAGGCATAATTACAATAGTTGATATTTCCTTTGTGTTTTGACCTCAAGTCTCATTCGTGATATCCATGTTTAGTCCGAAATTGAGATCATCAGTGAGACTTGTAAAAGTAGTGCAAGCGGTTCACATTATTAGTTATTTGAATGTTCTTCTAGAAATTCAATTATTAATTATACATCTTCAATGATATATTCTACACAATTCTTGTAGTAAAATATATTTTCCACATTTGTTTCACAACCCGACTTTGAAAAAGCTCCACAATATTTCAGATGTCTCACAAACGTCTCACCTGGTATATAAAATGGCTAACTTGCAATTAGATGCGACTGAGATAACCAATTGCCAATTGCCGCGATTAGTTCGTGAATGTTCTGTTTATGCCTACTCCTTTGTTTCATTGAACAGACTATAGGAACTTGCATTGAAAATATACTTGATCATGAAAACATTCTCTTCCGATCTGGCAATCGTAAGAAAGTAACTGTAGTTCTTACCATCAGTCCCTCAATTTATGATAATTTTTGTAATTCCTCTTCCATTCACCAATGTCCGTGTTATTACATTTACTTTAAAATGATAAATATTAAATGATGAATATTATAAGAATTTCAGAACAAAATGTTGAAAGGGTGTAAATTAATCGTTAATTCATAAATGAAATTTAATATAAGGTGTCCAATTCGAGGTAAACTATACAAGTATATCTTACAGTATTCGTTACAGAAAAAGATGTTTGAAGTAGCACTTACTTAATTTCGGGAAAAGAGAGAGAGAGAGGATATTTAATGGTGTTTACTAATCTTGTGTGGAGGACGTGTTTCTGAAATTTCAAGGTGACTTTTGTTTGTTTTTTCAAATGCAACAATATATTTTTATTTTGATAGACGTGTAGTCTATTTCACAATAAAGTTGACCTACATAACCGTTACGTTTCAAGATCATTCCAGGCTATTTACTCCTAAAATAATACAGAAATTGTAGAATATATCGGCGTATCACTTGGAGAAAATCATTGTGGTTTCCGTTTTAGACTATCATACATAACCCATTTATCATCCTCCGTAACTAAACGATACAAAAAAGGTTCTTGTGTCTACCGAGTAACAAATTGCATATAGTCAATCTCGGATCTTTTTCAACTACAACCTTCAATTCGTCGTCTTTAAAAAGAAACGGACTTCCTGAACTCTCATCGTCTTGCAGATGCAAGTCGTGGTTTCAAAATTTTGTGAACCCTCGTTGACATTTTCGGACACTTAGGACCTCGGACTAAACGCTATTAATATTGATTGTTGCAACGGTAGCATTATTTTCTTTACGAAATTCATAAAGTATACAATGTGGGATACGCTCCGTCATCACTTTATGTGAACATATCCTTTTTAAATAATATTCAATCTGCCAGTAAACTTAAGTAGCTTATGAGGACAGTGTTTGAGGACATTTTAGCATTAATAGATCATTATCTTTATTCACACGAAGTTTGCAACATTGATTCAACGACAAATGTGAGGCTGTAAGCAAGGAAACGATGTTGACGGTATTATGAATTTTATTTTCCATCGTTACATCTCATTCCGTCGCATTCAGCCTCGCTTCTGTCCTTTGTTATTGTCGCGCGCCAATAACGACCATATGTGGAAGACTGTGGTGGCTCAAACATCGCGAGTGAAAGTGCCCCCTTGCCTTCTTTATTATTTAGCTTTTAGGACAAGCGAAGTCTGTTCTCCGTCGGAGTATTCCCCTAATATATTCTAGGGGTTACATATACTCAGCAGACAACTCTTTTCTGATTTTCAGAAAAACGAACAGAACAGAAGAGTGCATACGAATGTTACAAAAGTGTGTGTCGCTGGATCCGGCGTACACACCGGCGTATCTAGTTCTGGCGAGACTGGCGACTGGACCAACGGCCGGTGTTCTTCTCAGACACGTTGTCCGGTTGCAACCCCAAAGTCCGGACCATCTCGCGGAATATGCTTCCTGGTTGTACCAAAACGGTAAGTGACAGTGGTAAAGCGGTTTAAATTGCTTCAGAGGGATAAACCTCGAGTCCCCATTTCGCGGCGCGGGGCTAAAGTACGAGTTAAAGTAGTTTAAAGTAACCAAACAGTGTCGGAACTCCGCCGCGAAACAGCCTCGCGATATGGCCATGGCTTTCTACTCACGGCAGATTCTACTTTGTCTCTTCAGGCAAATGGTTACCCTCTCTGAAGTACTATCTAAAAGCCATGGAATTGTCGCCCTCGCACAGATCGTCGCTCCTGGGAACGGTCAGGATCCTGAGGTCGCGAGGTCAGTGGTCAAGAGTGCAGCAGCTCATCACCAGGTGAGATGGTGAATGATTTTTTGCAAATCGGTTAACATAGGAATGTAAAGAATCAATCTCAGCTTTTGAAATGTTCCCGTTTGTTTAAACTATAGTGTTGCAATATTTTTGTGTTAATATAAGGGTTAATAATTACTCAAAAAAATGTTTATTTTTAAGCTTGCATGGTTGTTGTACCACTTTAAGATTTGCAATGTCTAGATTAGACCGCTACTTGATAAACATAAAATACGGCGCCTGCAGAAAATGTGTTATCCTCTTAACTGTTGAATTTTCTCGGCGAACAACGTTATTTATAAACTTCAAATCAAGTATTAGTCTTGTTTCAATTCACGTATGAACATAAAATTGTTGCCATTCAATTGCTAGTAGCCGAAGCTTTTCGTTTTGTCGAAAAACTAATCCGTACTCCTGACTTTAAAAAAATTAGTACGGTTCAATATTATTTTTCAATTTATGAATATATTACATGTATGTGTCACGAGCTCGATGGTTAAGAGGTTAAGAAGTGACGGACTGCGAAAGTTCTTTTTCTAAGTAGGGCAGTAAATCGATAGGGCTAGGGCAACAAGCAGCTCCGAGTTTTTACGTGATTTCTGAAAAACGCTTTACGTGAGACCGACTATCGGTCACGAAATTTAAATTAAGTACCTGGCCGCCCATGATTCGGGGTCAAGTAGCATGTAAGGACAAAACAATAATTTTACGTCCTTATACTTATTTTTCTGTAGTATCGTAGTTTTAAGACGGTGGGACAGCGAGTGTTCTAAGGGCCATAAAAGAGAATGGGACTCATGGAGACCAGGTCCAAAGGTTGGTGGGTTTTTCCGAAGGATGCGTAAGTGAGGATGATGAGTGCGGGGTGTGTTTGAGAATTTGTTGGAAGTGTGAGTAAGAAGAATGCTTGTGGGGGCCAGAATGATTTTTAAGTGTGGATGGCGAGAGATTTGGAGAGTGTTGCGTTGACTTGAGAAGAGAAAAGACCTGTACACTGCGAGTTATATCGTTTCTGTTTATTTGTATTTTATTCAATTATTTATTCCTATGTTTTTTTTTAAATAAAACATATTCAAATACCATTAATACCACATTTCTGAACTGAAATATTTCCATTTTTGCAAATGTCACAAAGGGGGGAACATCTAAAACTGTCTAATAGAAATAATATTAAAAAGTTTTTGACAGCTTCGCGAAGGCAAAAGGGCTATTAAATATTTTTATATTTATCATGGTTTCCAAGGTATGCAAGCAGGATTAATAAGAAAACGTACATTAACTTTTAAAAGTTTCCTTTTAAAACTTTTATACTTGTTCCATCCTGAATAACCAAAAAGCGACGAAAAATGTTTCTTCACTACTATTAAAATCTTCTACAAATCTGTAAAGTTTTGAGTGTTGAAATTTTCGAATTATATAAGTTCCCTTTATATATAATAAACGCAAATACAATGTTATTATGTTAATCTTGTTTCATCGAACTCTCTAAAAATTAGAGAATGATATTAGATCAGAATTAGCATCTAATTCAGTGAGAAGTCTGATTACTAATGTTCAATAAGAATGCATTAACTTTATTGTTAGGCTTTCCTATTTTTAAATCGTTTTATATTACTTTAAATTTCTTTTCTTGTTGTTGTGTCGCTATCCTTGTTTTTGCGTATCATCGATTCGCTCCTCTGTTGTCACTCTCGGTCGTCACACCTTACTCTCCATCCTTCTCACCTATACTATTTCCTCGTCTAACGTATTTACTAACTGTCATCGGTCATTAACCTAGTTCGTTAACCCAATCCACTCTCCCTAATCAACGGTCGACTCCAACCTTCTCCTTCAACTTCCAGAAATTTCCGAATATAGTTCACTGCTCTAATCCCCACTCACGCTCCATATTCCTCTGTCCAATATCATTATAAAAGCCGAAATCACTTTAAAATGCTTTTTGGGTTTACGCAGTTTCACCGTTAGAGTTTATACGTCACGTCGCTTTGCTATTACGCACTTCAAGATAAGCATTTTCGCAAATAGCCTTTCGACAATCTCTGTTCACGTTATTTGCGTACCACGTTAATTTTTGTAAAACCGTCAGTACTCGTATCTTTAGTCGTGTATAATAAATCTGTGTCATACATTATCCGTTTGTAGAAATCTTTCCTGCTAGCTCTCAAAACATTTAATCGAAACGCAATATAATGTATAAAAATTCGTAATATCACAATAGTTTGTTTATTTTCATAACAAAGTGTGTAATAAAAAAGCTATATTTTGTTAAATTAACTCGAACAATGCACGAATGTTGAAATCGTTAATCAAACAAAAGAAATGTAAATGAGTGATCCAATAAACAAATGAAAAGCGATACGGAATATCGATAATATTTAATCAGATAATTTGAACCTCCTCAATGAAGGAGTTACTTCGATCAAGAATCTGTATTTCAAAACAACAACAGAGATTCCAATACATTTTATTTTACACATGCGTCATGACGGTTTTGGCCGATACGTATCATAAATGAAAAGTACATAATTTTATATTACATATGCATACAGTGCTCCACATAACTGTCGCCGCGTTTTTTTAAGCACTTCTCATAATCTGACTAATAAATGTTTCCGATGAAAGTTAATCAGCCTTAAATGGACTATGAATGCAATATAAAAAATTTCCAACAAGTTTTTCTAAAAAATCGTTAAAAAATCAAGATCACAAAGATCAAATTGTTAATATTGCAAAAATGTTTTTATGCCATTTTGCAAGTCTTATAGTACTAAATATATTCTATAAAATTCAAAGCAAAAAGCAAATGGTCTGCTAATGACATATGCTTAAAGAAATGCTCTACTATTTTAGTAAATTTCAGGTTCAAATTTGAATGATAAATTGATATATCCAATCCAAATTGTGGGTAATATCTTAAACTATATTTCATTATTAATATCTTAAGATAAAAAATGTGCAAGTAAATTTTGCATTTCGAATTTTTTACTTTGTCCACTGGATTGAACACTGTGCGGTCCCCGCTAATTTTACGCACCCTTATATTTTCGTAGGGCTATCCAACTGAGTAATTACAATGGACAAGCTCATGGGAGCAGAATTCAGTGTAATAGTAGAAGAAGATTTCCACGAATATCTCGGAAACTAAAGCTTGCCGTAAGCAACATATAAAGAAAGAGGTTGTTCAAAGTCAGGTCTCGAACAACATATTTAAAATTATCAAAATCGATGCGTGCGCAGTATATAGACGGGTTCACCGATCTTTTTCCATTCGAACGACTTCCACTAATGTTTAAATGAGACAAAAATAATTGCGCCTTTATTCTTCTGTATCGGAATATTAAATATTCTTTGAGGAATTAGAAAGTGCACTGATTATACGATTAATGCTAATCTTCTTTTAGAGAATGAATTATCTTTAATTAAACATGACTATTTCTTAAATTGTGGTTGAAATCTTAAATACATAATCGTACTTAGTTTTGAGAAAAAAAGAAAGGTACGTAGGTACTTAGTTGATTGGAAACACGTATAAAAAGGATATATGCAATATTGAATTATTAGTAGAGTAACTCTGATTCTTGACATATTACCATAATATGCACAGAAATAGAAGTTTAAAATGAAATGATATTAAGGATTAAAACAAACGTGTATCATAACACTTAGCACACAAAAGTACCAGTACTTTTATAGCCATATCTTCGAGAACAATGGAACGACAGTAACATTGGTACCATTCATAAAATAACAATACGAAACTGAATTATTCCATAAAAGTATAATCTGTTCGTTAAGAAGGATTACTGACAAGAATATTCAACTTGCTGGACGGTAACTGTCCAACACGAAACCTCGCCCTCGTTCCCATTGATAATAATTACCACATCGTTTAACCGGTAGCTTTATTACAATTTAAATCCGGGACTCTTGAGCGCTAATTCGATTAATAAAGTCTATTAACGACTAATTCTTCTCCGTAGTATTAAGCTCTGCAGACAAAAGTTCACGGCACGGAATTCACCTCGACGGTTTAAAAATTGCCGGGCATCATCAAGTGCCGGGAGCACTCTCTCCACGTAATAATAATAAAACACCATGCAACGCCGCGTTTATTCATTTCTGCGTGCGACCGTGCACGGCAAACCTGTCCAATTCCGGGAAATATTGATTCGCCGTTTAAGTGGGTTCTGCTTATGGTGGGCCACACGCGAACGCGCTTGTAAATAAACCATAAAGCGATAAATTTGTCAAATCTTACACCGCATTTTCGACCGTTTCATTGTTCATCCCTTCAGTACATTCGACTTATGAATAATTCAGTGGCATGAATTATTCAGCGGAAGAACTGCAGAACCGGCCAACGTTTAACCAGT